TCACCTACTTTGGTCACATTGTCAGAAGGGACAATTCCCTGGAAAAGGATCTCATGCTTGGTAAAGTGGAGGGTCGACAAAAGAGGGGAAGGTCCTCAACAACATGGATTGACACAAGGCTGCAATGATGGCCTCAAGTTTACCAAGATTGTGAGGATGGCACACGACCAGACAGTGTTTCATTCTGTTCTACACAGGGCCTCTATGAGTGGGAAACAACTCAAGGGCACCTAACAACAATAACAACTATCCCACAACACTATACAACCTTGAGATTCAAGCCCAACGTATATCCTTCATCAGGACTCAATTTCCCGCTTCCTTGGATTCTTCTTTCATTAATTTTAACCACCAACCTCATACCCAAACAGAGAAAACAAAGTAAGAACTAAATAAAATGTTTCAACTTTCACTGTTATCCAAAACAATCAATACATGATGTCAAAAACATTGACTGATAATTATTTGTTTTCTTACTTTTCTTGAAATGGTTATTACATAATTATGTTACATTATTACAAGTAACACAGTTAGTAAGTGCCACATATTTTGCACAGAGTGCAAGAGCTCTGAAAAACTTTATCATTGTTATGTTTTATGGATAAGAAAACTGAGACTCAGAAAGTTGGACTTTGCACTCAGTCTGGCTCTTGAGTCAATGCACCTAAGAAAGAGCTTGCTAAAATCTCACTCCATTACCCTTCCACCATCTCTATGTTTTTAAATGAATTAAATAAGAGACATGGAAGCCCCTAACCTAATACTTAGTACTTAATAGGCAATCAGTAAATAGTAGCTCACTTGCTCTTATACAAACACATCCTAAACATTTAGATGTTGAAATCCTGCTTTCTCGTTAAAATCTCTTAATGACTTGCAAGTGTGTCACTTCAGTCCCGACAGAATTATCTTTTTCTAACTCGTGACTAAGGCAAGCTGATGTCATTTATTGAAAGTTCACAAGGACACAGAGCCTACATAACTCAGGTAGAACATCACCAATGCGGCAGCTGCCGGCCCCAGATGCTCTCTCTCTGCAACACTTCTCCTTCACTGCTTGAAAGTAGAATGATCAGTCTTAAACTAGCAACACAGAACTTACACCTAGAAAGGGCACTGAAGAGAAAACAAGAGGCTTCTATCGCACTGGTTTTCTGAATGATTTGTATTAAAAGTGTCCAGGCAAACACACAGCCTGAGAAAGTGGCAGTGGCTTTAATGACATCTACATATTAATACAGTCTGAAAAAGTGCAAAAATTACATTACTCTCATTCCACATCTTCGGTTGACTGGAAATCACAGAAAATCTTAGTACAGACGTATGTGCTTGTTTGTATTGGAAATAGCACAATAATGTAGGTACAAAGGCATGACTTTTGCAGAAACTCTAAAGTGGCTTCTCTCACCAGATATTTCACTGTGACTTGCCAGGAAAAACTCTGACCAAGACCCAAGGGAACTGGACATACTCTCACCTTCCTTACAGAAAAATCAAGGTAAATAGGATTGATTTGTCCAACATCAAATGAATTGTTATTTCTACTGTAAGATAATACTCCTGATACTGAAACTACAAGGTCGACAATTCAGTTCCTTCTGGAAGTGCTGGAAACATCAAAAACAATCCAGGGTGAGTTTTATACATTTTAGTTTTACCATTTTTGCTCTTCTTTTTTTTTTTTTTTTTAATTATGGTTCTGAAATGCATGCACTAGACACTTAGGTTTTCTTTATACACATCATATTCTTACATAAACTAGCAACAAATGTCTTTTACAGTTGGACATATTTCCATTTTCCAAAACATTTTTTTCTGTGACTCCACAGAACTGAAAAATAACAAGAAGAAAAGTTTAATTTAAAATATATTTACTGTGACAAGGAAAAGGTTACGTGCTCAGCTGCTAACCAAATGATTGGAAGTTCAAACCCACAAGCCTTTCTGTGACAGAAAGGCAATCTGCTTCTGTAAAGATCTACAGCCGTGGAAACTTATGGAGCAGTTCTACCCTGCCCTCTAGGGTCATTATGAGTCAGAACTGACTTGAGGGCAAAAGGTTTGGCTTTGTGTTTTGGTTGAGGAGAGAGCAGAAGTCTCTACTTCAGACCTGGCTCTGGTTCTGCACACCCTTCTTGCCTGTGGAGGTAAAATTTCCCATATTGAATTGAACATGAACCACTGGTTCTATTCTTGGTCACTTTGTCAGCTTTCAGTTTTGCTACCACCCTTTCAAACTCAATAAATTGCAAAGAAAACAGATGAAAATCATTATACTTTTTTAAATAATTTGAATAAAAATCTCTAATAAATTTTCTAAAAATTTGTAAACAGTAAAATTAATCTCTAGCATTCCTACTTCCGTAGCGATACTGCCTCTGAAACCCAAGGAGGGGTCATTATGAGTCGGGGTCGACTCGATGGCAAACAACAACAACAACATTGAGATATTGATATAAATATTGATCCAAGCAAAAAACACAGTTTGCTTAATTTAAATGTAATCCTCAACATTTTTTCTTTTTTTTTTTTTTTTTGGCCACAGATCTATCTTTGCTAATTTCTTAAGATGACACTACCACTAAGGGAGTTCTGGTAGCATAGTGCCTAAGGTATTCGACTGTTAAGCAGAAGGCCGGCAGTTCAAACCCACCAGCCACTTCTCAGAAGGAAAGTTGGGCAATCTACTTCCATAGTGATACCGCCTCGGAAACCCAAGGAGGGGTCGCTTTGAGTGGGTCCGACTCGAAGGCACATAACAACAACAACAACAATCACTTAGATGTGTTTTCTGATATAAACAACAAAAAGACCATTCTCTGGATCTGAGAGGTGGTAGAGTAGAAGCCTGAACCAGTAGTCAGGAAACCTGGGCTGTGTGTCTCTTAACTCTGGGTAACCTTGGGCCAATTGTTTTACCTCTCTGGGACTCATTTTCTCTAATTGCAAAGTGAAAAAAAACATAAAGTAGGTAAATTCTCCTCTCCCTTTAAAGGCCAGGATTCTATGACTTTATATAATGTATACATTTCTTTAAAAAAAAAAAAAAGTTGTGATGCATAGGGTAAATAAAATATTGTTTTAATTAGTAGGCTAATTTAAAAGAAAGTAAAATAACTAGTTTTGTTTCACTTTGGACTATTAAGTTAGACAACAGAACTAGACTTTGAAAAGAGCTGCAGATAATCTAGTCAACATGGCAATGATACTAGGCTTCAACCTTGAAAGTTACAAATGAGTAACTTTGCCTTCAGCTGATGGGTGGAAGAAAGACAAGCCGTCCTTCTCCCTCTCCATTCTTCCCAAGGCCTCCAGGACTTCATCCACCCTCCTCTCAACACTTGTTCAAAAAACATCATAGCCAAATTGTCAGCTGTCTAGCAACTTGGTGAAAAGCTTGTGCCCACTGAAAGTTAGGTTATTGAAACTATACTTGCAGGACATCATGGTAGAGCCAACAAGGAAGCAAGTAGTTTGGATTAAAAAGTACTGTCAATAGGACAATAAAGAAAACTGAATTAAACCCAGATTTATATGAACTTGGGCAAAGTAGTTATTTGGAGGGAAGGGAGGCCTTAATCTCTTCACCTAAATCTAAGCACTCATATCTTCCTACATCAAGAGATCTTCTCTCTCTCTCGTTATTCAAAGTTGTTTTACATCTCTTACTGAACCAATATCTTCTATTATTTTATTCCACAAGTGTATGTTTAATACCTATCACATGTCCAGTATGATTTAAGATGCTGAACGGAGATTTTTAAAAGAAACATAAAGCATTTGACCATAAATTCTAGATGGAGAGAAAAGTTTTAAATATTCAAGAAATTTAATGGCCAAAATAATATATTTAGTGCTTCAATTCTACCTTTTAGTTCATTGAATAGTGCCTGGGGACTAAAAAGCTTCCAAGTGGACATCCAAGCTACACGTTATTGTTGTTTTTATGTTGTTATGTGCCATCGAGTCAGACACAATTCATAGCAACTCCTCCTTGGGTTTCCGAGGCAGTATCACAGCTGAAGTAGATTGCGCAACTTTCCTTCCGAGGAGTGGCTGGTGGGTTTGAACTGCCAGCCTTCTGGTTAGCAGTCAAATACCTTAGGCACTACACCACCAGAGCACCTCCAAGGCACACAGTTGGTGTTTGCCTGGAGCATTAGAGGAAGAAAAAGAGTCAGGAATAGGGGGAGGAAATGGAATGCAAGCACCAGAACTGTATGGTGTCTGGTGCTTACCAAAAGTTTTGATCATGATTCTATAGGAGAATTCAAAGAGGAAAATGAACAGAATTACAAATTCTCATGAACTACAGATTTTCTAGAGCTATACAGGCTGGAAGAACACCTGAAACCTTTGCCTTGAGATAATCTTTCAATCTTAAACCAAAAATATTACCTGAAGTCATTTAAAACTGAACAATAGTTTAGCTTAACAAAGTCTGCTTTGAGAATTGTGGGTTTTTCAAGAACTGCCTATATGGGATTGAAAGGAGCCTGATGAAACAGGTTAAGTCCTCAGCTTCTAGTGGAATGATTATCTGTTCAAGCCCATTAGCACTCCTCTGAAGAAACATGAGCGGTCTGCTTCCATAAAGATTGCTGCCTTGGACACCCTATGGGACTGATCTACTCTGTCCTATAAGGTCATTCTGAGTCGGAATCAACTCCATAGAAATGTGCTTTGGATAACATGGGATCAAACTGACAATAGAAACTCAAAAGATTAGATAGGGAACTAGGGAACGATGAGTTTAGGTTAGTGGGAGAGGAACAGCTCAGAAAAGGAGGGTGTGAACGATTGCATAACTTGAAGAATGTCCTCTGTGTCACTGATTTGTACATATACAAGTTGTTGAATTAGTGTCTGTTCTGCTGAGTATATTGCTGTGTATATCTGCCATATATAACATGATTGATACAGATGTTAAGTGTTAGGGTTTTTTTGTTATGTTTTGTTTTGTTTTTCCCTAGTCTTGACAGAGGTGTCCAACAAAGAAAATGGAAGATGCTCTCCTACACAATCAAACTTCTCTAGTGACACATTTTCACCTTAGAGGTTTATCTGTGAATCAGAAGGTACAGATGTCCGTATTTGCCACGTTCCTCATTTTCTATGTCCTGACACTGATTGGGAACATCCTCATTGTCATAACTATTATCTATGACCACCGGCTCCATAGTCCCATGTATTTCTTTCTCAGCAACCTGTCCTTTATTGATGTCTGCCACTCCACTGTCACTGTCCCCAGGATGCTTGTGGACACCTGGTCAGAAGAGAAGCTCATCTCCTTTGATGCCTGTGTGACCCAGATGTTCTTCCTGCACCTCTTTGCCTGCACAGAGATCTTTCTCCTCACTGTCATGGCTTATGATCGGTATGTGGCCATTTGCAAACCCCTGCAGTATATGACTGTGATGAACTGGAAGGTTTGTGTGCTATTGGCTGTGGCCCTCTGGTCAGGAGGGACAATCCACTCCATAGCCCTGACCTCCCTCACCATCAAGCTTCCCTACTGTGGTCCTAATGAGATTGACAACTACTTCTGCGATGTCCCACAGGTGATCAAACTGGCTTGCACAGACACCCACATCATTGAGATTCTCATCGTCTCCAACAGTGGGCTGATCTCCGTGGTCTGTTTTGTGGTGCTTGTGGTGTCCTACGCAGTCATCCTGGTGAGTCTAAGGCAGCAGATCTCCGACGGCAGGAGGAAGGCCCTCTCTACCTGCGCAGCCCACCTCACAGTTGTCACGCTGTTCCTGGGACATTGCATCTTCATCTATTCCCGCCCATCCACCAGCCTCCCAGAGGATAAGGTGGTGTCAGTGTTTTTCACTGCTGTCACCCCTCTGCTAAACCCTATCATCTATACCCTTAGGAACGAAGACATGAAAAATGCCTTAAACAAGCTAATGGGGAAGAAGGAAAGGAAAGAAGAAAAATGAAAGTGGCTAAGCTCTTAGGATGCTTGGTGTTCCAAATCAAAGAAACATCTTCCAAAGAATAAGTTACATACCATATTTATCAGACTATATGGTTCATAAAATTATCCTCTGGCCCAATATTTGAAAATCATAACAAAAGCTGTGATTTTATAACACCTTCCATATGCTGGATATTGTTCTAGACACTTTGCATTTAGGTAATTCTCACACAACCTTGTGATATTATTATCCTCATTTATACATAAGAAATTAAAACTCAAGGAGAAGAGATAGCATGGCCAAAGTCAACCAGCTAAGAATGCTGAAGGTAGGATGTGAACCCAAGTGTATCAATGCAAATTCATGCTATTTTATTCTACCATGTTGCCTTTTCCTGCTTTTGTCTTAGGTGATTATCAAGGTCTAAACAAATCTTTAGATTTCTGGGCAGCCCTTGCCTATATCATTCTCTCAGACACTTGATTAAGCAGTTTAGAAAACATTGGTAAATCTGACAGAGTTTGTATATAGCTTCAATGATTGGAAAGAAGACTTCAAATGATTGATATTTTCAAGTAACCAAGCAAAAGTCTGCTATCAGAACAATAACATGATGATATTTTATTAATTTATTTGACAAACATTTAATGAGCACCGTTCTAGGAGTCCTCATTCATGGAATTTAGAGTCTAGTGAAGACATAAGATATAAGAAACTATAAGCAAATAAATTATAATTATGGATTGTGATAATAAAAGAACAGAGCAAGATGCTTGTTCTGGTTACCTAGTGCCACTCTGACGAGAAATATACCACAAATGGGATGGCCTTAACAAACAGGAGTTTATTCTCACAATATGGAGGCTTTAAGTCCAAGTTCAAAGTGCTAGGCTCTAGGGGCTGGGTGAATGCCCCTCAACCTCGGGGTCCAACTCTGCCTCCTGTTCCCGGCCCACTGGAGCTAGAGGCATTTCTTTACTCAGACAGCTGCAGGCTGCTGAGGTTGAGAAGCCCCAAGGTTGACAAGTAAAAAGGCACAGTCCTAATGTTACCAAACCACACGGCAGGCCATTAACTTAAGTCCATTGTATGTCCCAAGGTCGGCAGAGCATACCAGGCTGCTGAGCAACGACACAGCTACATGCAGGGCCCAAGCGTGCCATAGGCTAGAGACCATTATCAAGGCTTCTCCTTATGTACAGGAAGCAGACCACTTTGAGTAGCTCCCAAAGGCAACTGCTTAGCTGCTTTTGGTAGATCCCACCATGGAGTTGATCGCCAGTCTCATCATGGGGAATAACTACCACCAGCTGCCCAGCACTCAACCAGGACCAGCCAAGTTGACACACAAACATAACTACCACATATACCAAATTGGCTATAGCCATTGAAATAGCATCAACATTATATGGTAAATGTGGGGAGGTAATTTATTATATGTGATATTACAAAAGTAAATAATTCATGGAAATAAATGTAACAGTAAAAAAAAAATGAGGTACACTTTAGAAGGGTAAATTTTATGGCATTAGAATTGTATTTCAGTTTGGTGGGGTTTTTTAATTTTGTTTTGTTTTGTTTTGTTTTTGGTTTGTTTTTTCAAGAGTGAAATCACAAAAGAAACAATGTAAATGAGGGGAGGAAGGAAGTACCACTCCCCTTATATACACACATGCAGCTCTGTTTTTCTTTGACATTCTTTATCCTTGGTGAAAACTGGGTCAGATTGGTTTTGTAAAGTCAAGAAAAAATAGAGCAACTGTACATATTCAGCATATTGGAAGGTCAGGATTGTGTCATTTTCCAGAACATCAGCATTCACAAAACCCAATTTGAATAATGCACTGTCACGCAGTAACTAAGGGACTCTGAGCTACATTCTTATGCTTTTAGGCCATTTGAGATTCCAGAATTCCATGAAATTGGAGATTACGGCATTCTTGTGATTTGAAAACCATAATCCAAACTAGACAAGTTCCCATGATCCAGATTATAGGATACATTTTCACATGTGGCAAAAAAAAAAAAAAAGTTGTCTATCCACACATTATATGCACATTCAAGCACCTACTTTGTTGGCACTATCCCTCCACAATTCCCACCAAACACCTACCACCAGGCCATACTGTGTAAACACAAAAAAAAAAAAACAATTCACTGCTGTCGAGTCGGATCTGACTCATAGCAACCCCTCTTTGGGTTTCCAAGGCAGTATGACCAGGGAAGTAGATTGCCCAATTTTTCCTCCGAGGAGTGGCTGGTGGATCTGACTGGACAGTCATGCATATACTGTGTAAACACCAGCCTATTTCCTACAGAAAGTTGACTCTAACTACTACCCTTTACCTGTAGGCTTGAATTCTATCACCAATCATAGCTTATTGTTTTGTTTTGTTTTGTCTTGTTTTGTATTTTGTTTTTATTAACTCTCCAGTTCAAAACTCTAATAAGAAATGCAAGTGATGCAAACTTCACAAAGTTCTGACCAAGAATTATCTGATCTTCTAGACCTAGGGTTTCCAGTAACAGAATCTCTAAACAGTACTCCCTTTTGTCAATGTAGCCTAAACCAAAAATGATAGTAAATGAATGGATATTGACAGATCTTTCCTTCTGTTGATAGAGGAAGGAAAATGTAAAGTAAATTTTAGTTATGTAGTCACGGAACACTCTGTGTGTACAAAAACAGAATCTGTAGAGTTATGAAAGAATAAGAGATCTTTATATCATCCACTAAAAAATGATTATTTGGCTAAAATTAGAATGGTTAGATCAATATAGACAGCCAATATAATATTATTAATTATCTATTGCTTCATAAGGAGCTCTGGTAGCATAGTGCCTAAGGCACTTGACTGCTAACCAGAAGGCTGGCAGTTCAAACCTGCCAGCCACTCCTCGGAAGGAAGGTTGGGCAATCTATTTCCATAGTGATACCACCTCGGAAACCCAAGGAAGGGTCGCTATGAGTCAGATCTGACTCGACGGTACATAACAACAACAACATTTCTTCATAACAAATTACCACAAACTTAGCAACTTAAAACATTTAATGATTATCTCACAGGTTTTTAGGTAGTAATCCAAGCATGGCTGAATCAAAAGTCTCTCATAGGCTACCATCAAGGTATTCGCTAAATCTCAGGTCTCCTGAAGGCTCAACTGGGGAAAGATCTGCTTCCAAGCTCAAGTGATTGTTGGCAGAATTATAGTTCCTCAAGGTCTTTTGGACTGAGGGTCTCAGATCTTAGCTGGCTATTGGCCAGAGACTTCTCTCAATTCTTTAATAAATGGGCCTCCTCAACTTAGCAGCGTGCTTCATCAAAGATAACAAAGGAGCGAGTCAGCTAGCAAGACAGAAGCCACTATCCTGTCTAACCTAATCACGGAAGTGACATCCCATCACATTTGTCATAACATAGTTAGAAGTCACAGAACCCACTCAAACTCAAAGGAAGAAGATTATACAAAGGCATAAATTCCAGGAGGTAGAGATCACTGCGGACCATCTTAGAAGGGGCCAGCCACCTATATTATCATAAATTTACTTAAGTTCCTCCACCTTTAGAATGGTATTAAAGATTTAATTATTTAACTCAGATAAAATACTTAGGGACAAATTTAATGAAACAAGACCTACGTGAGAGATATACATCATGCTCATGGACTGGAGACTGATCATTGTTAAGATGTCAGTTCTCTCCCGAGTTGTTCTATACTTTCAATAAAATTCTAGTTAAAGTTCTAGGAAGCTTCCTTATAAAAAATAGATGAACTCTTTCTCAAATTTGTATTGATATGCCAAGGCCCTGAAACACCAAAAATTATTTTGAAAAAGAACAAATTTAGAGGTTTCACACTATCTGATTTCAAGCTAAAGTAACCAAGACAATATGTTATTAGTGTAAAGACAGATAGGTCAACAGAACAGAATAAATAATCCAAAAATAAACTCAAAACTAAAAGGTGAATTGGGTTTCAACAAAGGTGCCAAGTTTATTGAATAGGAAAAATATAGTCTGTTTAAATGGTGCTGGATCAACCGGATATAAGGAGAAAACAGCCCTACCTTCATACCATATATAAAGAGTACACTCAAAATGAATCATAGACTAAAACTTAAATCCAAAACTATAAAACTAAACAAAAAGAAACAGGAGAAAATCTTCAAGTCTTTGAAGTAGGGAAAAATTTTTAAACAGAACACAAAATGCATGAACTACAAAAATACAAAATTAATAAATTAGACTTTATTAAAACTTAAAACTTCTGCTCTTTCAAATACACTATTAAGAAAATGAAATGCAAGCCACAGAGTAAGAAAAAATATTGGCAAGATATATATACAAACTAAGGAATATACATCTAGAATATACAAGAACTCTTATCAAACTAAAAACCAAACTCACTGCCATGGATCCAACTCATAGCGACCCCTCCTTGGGTTTCCGAGGCAGTATCACTACAGAAGTAGATTGCCCAACTGTCCTTCTGAGGAGTGGCTGGTGGGTTTGAACTGCCAGCTTCTGGTTAGCAGTCACATGCCTTAGGCACTACGCTACCAGATCTCCTAAGAACTCTTACAAGTCAATAATTTAAAAATAAAAAAAATCAAACCCACTGCCATTGAGTTGATTCCCATCCATAGCAACCTCCACTGGGTTTCCAAAGCTGTAAATCATTACAGAAATAGATTGTCTCATCTTCTTCCCATGGAGCAGCTGGTGGTTTTGAACCACCAACCTTCTGGTTAACAACCAAATGCCTTACCCAGTACATCACCAGAACTTCTTACAACTCAGTAATAACGCAAAAATAATAGATAATCAAAAGATTTGAACAGATACATGTCACAAAGAAAGACATAAAGATCTAATAAGTAAAGGAAATGATGTTCAACATAATCAGTTATTGTTGTTGTTGTTATGTACCGTGGACCCGACTCATAACGACCCCTCCTTGAGTTTCCAAGGTGGTATCACTACGGAAGTAGATTGTCCAACCTTCCTTCTGAGGAGTAG